GTGTTCCCATTTGAGGGTAATTAATTGAAAGTTAAGTAATAATGGCTGGAGGCGGCTTGAATGGGTAATGAAGAAAACTTTAATATAAGTTTAACATAACAGCAAATGTACAACGTTTCGACAAGGTTTTGTCATCATCATCATGTATATTTGCTGTTATGTTAAACTTATATTAAAGTTTTCTTCATTACCCATTCAAGCCGCCTCCAGCCATTAATACTTAACTTTCAATTAATTACCCTCAAATGGGAACACCTAATACAATAATTTATTTTCTAAACAAAACGCAATAAACTCTTTTGCCCTTTCTGCAGGGCCGTATCGATATTTGATGGCGCCCTATGCAACATATAAATTCGCCCCCCCCTCAATCGTATTATTCTAAATATTTACAATACATCATATAAACTATTATAATCATTACAAAATCTAATCTTGAAAAAATAATTGTGCATACATTCAATTTATCGTTCAGCACAGTTTGAGTTTTGAAAATAACCAACAACTGAATTCATAGTGAACAAGCTGAACCTACACGTGCATGACATCCGGGCAGTCGACTGTTTATAAGCACATATTCAACAGGCAATATGGAACTGTTCGCCCCATCTGCAAGGGCTGCCTTGATTCTGAAAAGCAGCCACTAGTTCACCTTGTTAGGTAATCAGGCAATCAGCGCCCTCCCCCTTCGAGTTGACGCCCAGTGCCCCTGCCCCTTTGAAATCAGTATCATAATTGCTTAAAACAGCGTAAGTGATAATAAAATTACTATCTTAATTGCTGACAAATTCTATAATGTCCAGAAATATGGATATATTAACTTTATAATAGTCACATGGGCTCGAGAACCTAACATAATTGGTAACTCTTTGAATTATTCAGTAATTGATACAAAATTCTCTTACATTAAGATAAGCACTCAATCAATAACAAGCTGGCTTTATAACGTTTAGAGAAATCAAATAAACAACACTAACATCCTCAGTAAAACATATTCACCTTTCCACCATCTATATTCGTAGGTATTAACTAAGGACTGTTGTGAAAATAACACAGAAAAGTTGTTTTGGTTTTGTAATAACGGATTTTCCATAATTCAGCTATGCAGATTTCGAAAATAATACTATTTTTTTTTATCACGTAAGGATTTTTTACAAATTGGGAAGTAAAAAAACAACAACACAAATACAACTCTTACTTAGATCAAATTATTATTTCATTTACCACAAATATAACAAAATACGTTTGGGTCATTTACACAACCTCTTGTTACCATAGAGACGAATAAATAATCTTGAAAAGAAAATAATAATGTCAAAGTGCACGCTCAAACAAATACTCTCCAGAAATGACACATCATGCGGTCTTTTAACTGTATACATACTAGCGGTGTGTTTCTTGTGGGTTCTAGAACGATCGGTAAGACTTTCACGTCGCGATTGGTCTAAAAAAAAATCTATAGACAGTGGATGTCAACATTTTAAGCATAACAAAATGTGACCCAATTTCAATGAATATGATTCACTTATGTAAAAGTACTTGTGACGTTTTGTGGAAAATCTGTACGTGATGGAGGAAAATGGATATCATTTTCGGATTCAGCGTACAGGAATTACCGTAGAACATGTAAACATTTGAACAAAATATGAACAGAACTGACTTCCACTTTCACAACTTTTTCCCGGTAATAAATGTAATTAAATCTCAAGTTCTATATACGTATCCACCTGCCAAATTCATTGTCTCAACTTTGTGAAACCTGTATATCTTTAATTGTTTCTTTCACTCGTGGTTTAAGACTCTAAATACGCACTCATATGTTTTCATCATAAAATACTACCGATAGATAACACAATCGATTAAAACACAAGCGTGAAAGATGGACTGCTCAATTTGATTGAGTCTTTCAAGTGATAGAAACGAGGCGATGATCGAGAAGACGGGCGAGTCTCATCGACCAATCAACCTCTCAGATTAACATTCTCCACAAGAGGGCGTATCGATCTGTGTTTCGTCTGACCTACTTTTTCCATACTTTTACCGTAAAGAAAATTACTTATTGATTGGAATATGTCCATTCTAAATAAAATAAAGATATCGAGAGCAGCGTGGCTAGCATGATGTGAAAGTTAAACGCGAACGCGATTGCGTTACAGAACACTATAGAAGCTCTTGGAACTTTTGTTGTGCTAATTAATTACAATTATAACGTAACAAACGGGCAGCACTGAAAATAAAGGTTTTAAATATTTTGTAAACTTCTATTTCTGTCAAATGAACAAGTTTCCACTTGAATACTGGCTAATATAGATAACAGTTATAATTTTACTGTACTTACTGACTTACGAGCTAACGTCAATCATGTTGTGCTTATGAATAGCTTAAAAAAGATATATAGATATATTAAAAAAAAATCACTAGGAAAAACAGTGACGTTTGTAGGAATGTATTTTGACATAAGTTTGTTGTAATGGACCAAAATAAAGGTACAAAAACCAATACTTCAGTAATGATAGCCGGCACTTACATTACCTTTAGCACTGGTGGTTTCTGTTCAAGAGAATTTCACTGGACTATCATAACCGAATATTCTAACACATTATAGAGAACGTGTTATATTAAAAACTCTCACAATCAGTGGAGTAGATGCAGGGAGAAGGTCAGATGGCCCTGAATAATTTTTGAAGGGGCCATCGTATCTTTGACCCCTCTCAAATGTAATTCAAAACATATAAAACAAAGAAACAAACGTGACGTTGTCGCCACTTCCTACAGAAACTTTTAACCTAATAACCTACCATAGATAAGAAGTCAAGAAGGACAAGACTGTCTTCAGTAACAGCTATCCACACCGTTGATTGGTCACCAGTTTTCAGCTATTGAAAAAAAAAAAACAAAAAAAAAACGTGTCACTGACGTAAGCATTTTTTTTTTAACTGGCTGTAAATTTCAAGAAGATATCACAGAAGTAATTAATTTATTTTCTTCTTTCTAGAAAAATTATACAGATGTTTTTATACAAATTCCTATTCTGGCTTTCCTATACGTGAAACGTAAATGTTGAAATAAAATATATATACATATATTAAATACCTATTATTAAAGATAATAAAACCGAAAAAAAAAGACATTTTTCTCAATGATTGTAAATACATACCAGGTTTCACATAGATATGGTATGCAAGTCTCTGAATATACTACAGTCACATCATATCACCCCTTTTATTGTTTTACACTGTTAGTGGTAGATAAAACACGTTATTAATCACATGCTTTTCTGTGTTTTAAGAGTACTGTTTTGAAACTTTAGCCCCCCAGTGGCAAAGCGGTACGTCTGCGGACTTACAACGCTAGAAACCGGGTTTCGATACCCGTGGTGGGCAGAGCACAGATGGCCCATTGTCCAGCTTTGTGCTTAACTGCAAACAAACGAGGCCCGGCATGGCCAGGTGGTTAGGGCGCTCGACTCGCAATCTGAGGGTCGCGGGTTCGAATCCCCGTCACACCAAACATGCTCGCCCTTTCAGCCGTGGGGGCGTTATAATGTTACAGTCAATCCCACTATTCGTTGGCAAAAGAGTAGCCCAAGAGTTGGCGAGTGGGTGGTGATGACTAGCTGCCTTCCCTTTAGTCTTACACTGCTAAATTAGGGACGGCTAGCGCAGATAGCCCTCGTGTAGCTTTGCGCGAAATTCAAAACAAACAAACGAATTGAAATTTTAACAGTAATTCTAGAAATTAATGAAATTTAGCGAATATTGCAAACTCTTCTACGTCCACTTGTGTCATCTTGTCAACTTTAATAATTGCTGCAAAAAAAATCGACAGAATTACATTTAAAAATGTTTTTTTGGTTTTGACATATTTATCTGAACACTAGATTTTTTGCAAGTTAACTCAAACAAACTTAAGGACACAATTATAAATGGACAGATGCAAGGCTATGGAAAACTCAGTAGAAAATTACATATGATATTTTTACAGTTTAGTTGAGAAAAGGTTCAAAAACAACGTAATGGAAGGAATGCTTTCACTAAGGGCCGTGCTTGTTAAACAAGCTGGCAAAGATGTCACAGTAACATTAAGCCAGTTACAAGTAGGACTTCGTGTGGGCGTTTCCTAAGCGAGTTTTTGAGTCTAAGCCTTCTTACGCTGTTTACTTGCACTCGTTAGTGCTGTGCAAATGACCAAACACTACCTGTTGTTGGTGCGCATGCTTTTGTGCAAATTAAAACATTCGTGTACTTAAGGATGAATCGTTACATAGTTAAAATGGGACTCCACCTGGTGAAATCGAAGTAATAGGAAACCAGTAGGATTCAGCAGCCTTTGCATTACTTTTTGTTTTCAATTAGTATTACAATGAAATACGACCCCCTCCAGTGGCTCAGCGATAATCTTGAAGATTTATTACCCTCAAAATCTGGGTTCGATCGCTGTGAAGGCCATAGCACAATACTCCACTGTGCAAATAAAAACAATGAATAGAATATATATATAATGTGCAAATAAAAACAATGAATAGAATATACATAATGTGCAAATGAAAACAATGATTATGATATACACAATGTGCAAATAAAAACAATGAATAGAATATACATAATGTGCAAATGAAAACAATGAATAGGATATACATAATGTGCAAATAAAAACAATGAATGGGATATATACATAATGTGCAAATAAAATCAATGAATGGGATATATATATATATATATAATGTGCTAATAAAAATAATGAATAGAATATATATAATGTGCAAATGAAAACAATGAATAGGATATACATAATGTGCAAATAAAAACAATGAATGGGATATATACATAATGTGCAAATAAAATCAATGAATAGGATATACATAATGTGCAAATAAAAACAATGAATAGGATATACATAATGTGCAAATAAAAACAATGAATAGGATATACATAATGTGCAAATAAAAACAATGAATAGGATATA